GTAGCTGACCTTGGTCACCTCCCAGACACTGCAGCTGTGCTTCTTGCCTAGTCAAGAAGCCTAAAATAACAACAGTAATCAGAAAGTGCCTTACTGTCAAGGTCTCTATATATCCGTTAAGAGGACTAACAGGTGGTCCTGACCCTACTCAGGACCACCTGTCATTACTGTGTGATGAAATTCCTATGGTTTTTGTGGGTTTTGCCTTTATAAGCTAGTTACACCCTCTCAGGGCCATGGGTCCTGAATCTGATTAAGGGACCATGGACAGCTGTAACCCTAATGAACACTGTCATTTCTGTAGTAAGTTCTGGTTATGCAGAGACTGGTCTTTCTTTTGCCCTGGGTTGAGGATAAAGATGTCCTCTCTGAGAGATCAGGGACACAATACACCCAGCCAGGACTGATCAGCAAATTGGAACCAGGAAGCCAGACAGATGTGCTTTGCCCTGCCTTACACAACTGCTGAGTTCCTTGCAGAAGAAGACAAACCACAATTTATAGTAAATAATTGGTTCCATTTATCATTCCAGTACATTTTCCCAATATGGAAGTAAAATCAAGCTATTCAGGGTTCATGTGATATGGAAGTCATCGAGAAACACCCCCCACACACCCACTGCAGGATCACTCAGCCCACTCCACAGACCGGGTGGCTTTGCAAAATGAGGTCTTGGCTGACAGAATGTCAAGTAGGGAAGGGATTCAAGATAAGGGAATATAGGTCTCAGCTTGTATTTTTGGCAGGAGGAAGAGCAGAAGAGCTGGAAACACATATTCAAGTTTTTAACCACATTATATAGAAAGAAATGAGTAAACCTCTTCAACTGTCCATTACTTGGGACCCCCTCCCCAAGAGGTCATCTGTTATCTACCCAATTCTGTATTTCAAATTCAGTGTTTCAAACCAAAGATCTGAAGTCTAAGTTCCAATTTTTTCTGGGTTCCTGTTCCCCATCTGTCTCTTATACCCAATCCTTCTTACTCCCATCCTTTTCCCAGCCTCTCTAGGCAGAATTCTGGATCTCCTTCTGACTTTTGATGATTTTGCACTTTATGGCAGTTCCAGGCTTTTTACTAGTGATAGGATTTGGCTCAGACTTGCTTTTCTAACAAATGGAGATCAAGAAGTTCTTGAGGGCCATGCCTGGTCTGACCTCTTCCTTTCCTACCTCTAATCAATGGTCATGCCACTTTTTATGCAACTAAACCATGTCCACAGTGATAGCTGGCAACTGATGGCCTTGAAATGGGGAATCTTTAAGGAAAATGTGCTATTCTTCAATCCAGGGAAACTTCTTCCAGCATGGGAGAAAGAGGTAGGGAGGGTTAGCAGAGTTGTAAATCCTCAGAAAATGTCATCTTTGCCTAAACTGAGCATTGCCCATCAGAGTCCATCCAGAGCTGCGAGAAAACCAAACCAGTAGGTATGGAAGCTTCTCTGACTCAGGTTGCCCCAAGGGAGAAGGGAAGGAGATGGAGGCAGTGGCAGCATCACTGGAGAGGAGAAATCTTCAAAGGGATCATGATTCGTGACTCCATGTGTCGTACCAAGGGGACTGTGGAGAGAGAAGCAGAGTCATAGAAGTGCCTGAAGCAAGCCAAGACCCTTTAATTCCTACCCTCAAACTCAACAAATGCTCTTCTGAAGGGAGAAAACATCCCTGCTATCCTCCTAGAAGGGCCCACAGCTTCAAAATGAAACAGGATTTATGTGGCAATAGGATGAATATTTTTTTTAAATTCATTGCCGGGCATGGTGGCACATGCCTTTAATCCCAGCATTCGGGAGGCAGGGCCAGGTGGATCTCTGTGAGTTCCAGGCCAGCCTGATTTACATAGTGAATTCCAGGCCAGCTAGGGCTACAGAGAGACCCTGTCTCA